GTTGTTGCTTGTTTACTACTTTGCATTGTTGTGATACTTTACATGACGTCCTCCGCCCCAGAACGTTTCTGTCGTTCTTGGTTTTGGGGTGTGACACCAATCTAACAGATATCTAAGCATATCACCATCCTAACTACCAAGATGTAAATCAATAAGCATATCATGCAATAAACCCGGATACAAATCCGATAAGGGCCGGCATTGGTGCCTTAGACCCTGTTGATATAGTGAGGATAACTCACCTCACAAGTAGCTCGAAGTGATAAAGTCAAAATCCACCAAATACAGCTCTAAGTCCAACACCTACATCCACTGATGATCCACTTCCATAAATTCCCAAATTACCAAAATACCCCTAGAAGTCAAACTGGTCAACCCTTGGTCAAAGTCAAGGTCAACGATCAAAGTCAACAGTCCATGTTGACCCAACTCGTCGAGTTTCCTTACGAACTCAAAAGTCATAAAACCCTAACTGAATCGCCGAGTTTCCAACCAACTCGTCGAGTCCATGCGTGTCCAGAAGTCGGGGAAAACCCTTATTGACTCATCGAGTCCCCTTACTGACTCGCCGAGTCCATGCAGAACCCAACCACGGTAAATATTCATCTGACTCGTCGAGTCGCCTATGCGAATCGTCGAGTTCATGCAATCCATTTCTTATACAGATGTTTTTAAGCCACCCCAAAGCTCCATATTGCAGATCCAACCTCCTAGGGCATGTTTTCCACGTAAAGTTGCAAACTTACCTGCATGCATGGTCTTAAATGCCAAAACTAGACTAAGGGAAAGGTTAACTCAAAGGGAAGGATCCAAGCTTGCCAAATCTCATAACTTTATGTCTAAAGAGACCAAGGGGAATCCAGATCTAAAGTTACAACTTCAGATCTTGCCCCAATACTCGAAATGACTCCCAAATGTGCTAAAGATGGCCCTAAACCCAAACATGAAGGGAACTAGCTAAAGATAAGCAAAGGTAACGACTTGCTACCTTCAAAATTATACCAAGAAGAAGTAGAGTCAGATCCACAAGCTCCTCTTTGCTCCAAGCTTCTTATATTTCACACCTTCTTCACAAAATGCACCAAAAATCACTCTTTAAGCCTCACAACACTCAAGAACAAGGTTAATAGCGATTAGGGTTTCTTCTAACCGTCAAGGGGGTGATAAGGGACTGGAGGAAAGGACTTAAGGTCCTTTAAATAGGGTACAAACCTTAAAAATTAGCGTTTCATTTCTCAGCTCCTACTCGTCGAGTCCAGGTCCTCCGACTCGTCGAGTAGATCCAATAATCCACGCGGGTTATCCTGCCTCTACACGACGAGTTGGGGGCAACCAACTCGTCGAGTAGGTCCATAAATATGTATATAATGCTTTAAAACTTGTACCTGGGAGTCGGGGTCTTACAACATTAAAAAAGTTAGATTTGAATAAACAAAAAGCTTTCCAGCCTAGTGGTAAACTTGGTTGTTGACAATCCTTGTGGCGAGAGTTCGAATCCCGCCTCTCGTCATTCTTGCGGTTATTCCTGTTCAAAAAATACACACCTACTCAAGTGATCGGTATTATATAACAACTTAGCGTCAGGTAAGCAAAAAATACACAGTCATCACTGACGTGTCGTCCCACCTGCTCAAGTGACCGGGTAACCCCTTAAAATGACTAAAATGCAAAAAGTAGACGAATATGCGGCTTTAATGAACCCAAAAAAACCTAAAGGTTAAAACCAACAATTTCTTTAAAACTTACGGGCTTATTTCGGTTCAAAAAATACACACATGCTCAAGTGATCAGTATTATATAGCATTCTGGTTCTTTTAAGCAATAACAACTCAACGCCTAGTAAGAAAAAAATACACAGTCATCGCTGACATGGCGTCCCACCTGCTCAAGTGACCAGGTAACCCCTTAAAAGGACTAAAATGCAAAAATTAAACAAATATGCGACTTTAATGAACCTAAAAAAAACCAAAAGGGTAAAACCAACTATTTCTTTAAAATTTAAGAGCATTTATGTCATTAGCCATTATTTTAAAATGAAAAATCTCTTTGTAATTTTTGGGACGTTACAGATAAAATTCAACCTCATAGTGTAGTCTAGTATATGGATGAAAGTGGGTCGAAACTCGTCCTAAAAAACCCGAAAACTGGTAAACATAATTTTGTAAGACCGGAAATTGGATTGATACATAGGAACCGGTTCTGGTTTGGTTCCGGGTTTGGTACCGAGTAAAGTAGGTCTAGAACAGGAAAGTCCGGAAACATCAAAGTGGGTAGGTTGGAACCGAGTAAAGTGGCTCTACAATCGGAAAACCAGGGAAATCCAAATATTTTGGTAATTACTTATTGGTTTGAACTTTGAAAATATATAGATAGATATCCTGACTTCGGGGGACTGTAGGTCATTAAATATGAAACCAAAAGTGACAACACTATGTCTAAAATCATGGACAAACTCTAAACTACATGCTGGGAAAAAAACTTAATCCGACAACAAACGAATGAGATATTCATGTTTTAATATTTTCATAGAATACAAAATATAAATACAAATAGCTGAAAAGCTGAAAATTTCCAGCTTTGATATCCCGATTTCGGGGGACTGTAACTCATTGAATATTAAACCAAAAATGAAGGAATTATAGTTTAAAATCATTTGCAAACTCTAAATTACATTTTAGAAAAAACCACATGCCAATTTGAATTCAAACGGTTTAGATATGCATGTTTTAAATTTTTCACATAATACAAAATAACTGAAAAAAAAATACAATTTGATATCCCGACTTTAGGAGACTGTAAGTCAATGAATATCAAACAAAAATGATAAAATTATAGTGTAAATTTATTTACAAACTCCAAACTACACTCTGGGAAAAATCACATGTCATTCCAACTTCAAAAGAATGAGATATTGATATTTTAATTTTTTCACAAAAGTCTGTTCCGGTTCCTAACACCGGTTCCGTTTCTTATACCCGTTTTACCCGGACCTAAACCCAGATTACCCGAAACCTAGATAAAGACATGCTTTAAACCTGAAACCCCGAACTGGTTCAACATATTCTAGTTCTAACGTTTTGGTTCGGGTCCGATTCCGGTTCCAGTTTTTCGGTTTTAAATCTCATCAATAGTCTAGTATCAACTGGTATGACTCTATGTAGTGCAAATACATGCTATAAATTGACAATACATATACTAGTCTAGTATCAACTAGTATGACTCTATGTAGTGCAAATACATGCTATAAATTGACAATACATATCATGAATTGTCATCACAATAGGCCCAAATTTCTTTCTTTAAATATTTCCATCAGGGTATTAATGATGTGGATTGCCTTAGTTGTCAAACTTTGTGGCATGATGTTGAATTAGTTTTTAACTGTTGTATGGTTGTATCGTTGGGCAAGTTGGCCAAGCTCTATAACTTTCTCCCACATGGCAAACCGAACCTCAATAGGGGTTTCCAAGATAAATTCCTCCATATGTAGCATAAGTTTAAGAGACATCGATTTTTGGGTTTTGTAGGGGTTGAACTCCTGACCTTTGACTTCACGTGGGTATTAAACCCGGCACCTATTCCTAGCTAGGCTGGAAGTCATTGGTAGTTCCTTGTTTATTTAATATGTATTATTAAGATAGAAAATAAAGGGGTTATAGGATTGGTCCTATAGTTCCTTGTTTATTTAATATGTAGTTCTTTGTTTAGTTTCTAAGATCCACCAAATCATCTCATAGGCTTATTTATTTATAATTGGATGTGAGAATAAGCAAAATAAGTTATGCTAGTCATTTATGATCCATGACTCACTCACTTAGAGCACTAACTACTTCAAAAGAATTTCTTCCAAAGGTTCTTAAAATCGCTTTGCTGGTGCGATGTGGAATTGTCATATGCCTTCTCCATGTATATAAATACCATATATGTGATTCTTTTTATTTCTCTAAATTTATATATAAGGCGTCTGATGATATGGATTAACCGAATTGGTTCTATCGTTGCACAACTTAGCCTTTGTACATATCTCCCACAATTTTATGGTATAAATAAGTAATTTAATGCATCTATACTTGTACTAACAATATTTCATAACTCTCTTGGACATGGTCTTAAACCAGCTATGATGTAAAAATAATCACTCTTAATGCCACCTAGTCAGTTTAAATTTGTAATTATTAATTCACTAAATAAGTTAACTAAAAAACTAAAACCAAATAAATCAAAATGATCGACTCACTCACACACTATTCGATTTGTATTAGTTATTGGATTTTGGTTATTTCTCGTTCCCTATAAAATTAACTAAAATGGGCTTATTGTAGCCCAATAAGCAGCTAATATTCGGGTTGGATCCGGATCTTTTATAATGTTAGAGATTGGTTGGCAACTTCCAAAAATAGTTCACGTGCGGCTGCTACATTAAAATCACTTCACGTGGGTGCCATTTGCCAACTGCCCAAAAGTCAATAAACACAAAAATTTAATCTCGGTAAACCAAAATGACTAAATTACCCTTCGTTTCCTTTAACAACTCAAAACCAAACGAACCGGGTAAGGGGTAATAATGCCAATTAACACACTGAGCCCATAAATAAAATGTACACCTAACCAAACTTCTGTTGGGTAGTACAAAAATGAACAAAGCTTTCTTGGTCTTCACAGTACTAGTATGGCGCGCCACCGCACAAGCACCGCCGGCGGCGGTGGTGCCACCGGAGGCTCAGGGATATCTTGAAGCTCACAACAAAGCAAGAGCCGACGTCGGTGTGGCTCCACTCAAGTGGAACATCCAGCTGGGTAAAGCCACGAGCTTACTGGTGCGATTTCAGAGAGATCGACAAAACTGCCAGTTTGCCAACTTAACGAGCGGGAAGTACGGCGGAAACCAGATGTGGGCCACCGGCGAGGTGGTGACGCCGCAGACGGTGGTGGACAACTGGGTCTCGGAGAAGACGTATTACACTTACGCCAATAATTCATGTGCACCTAGCCACCGGTGTGGGGTGTACACGCAGGTGGTGTGGCGGAACTCGGCGGAGCTGGGCTGTGCTTTGGCTAGGTGTTCTAAAGATCAGTCAACTTTAGCGATTTGCTTTTATAATCCGCCGGGGAATGTGATCGGAGAAAGCCCTTATTGATCAAGAAGCAATAAAAATATGTTTTTTTGGGTATTTTCTTGAATTAATTTATGTTTAAGAAATGAATGTTGCATCTCAGATGCACTAATTAGCTGTACTTTATTAGTTTATTAGTAATATGATTTCCAATTTTCAATCATCTAGTGATCTAGATGAGATGCTGTTATTCTGATCAGAACGAAAGTGATGAATCTCGGACAAGGTACAACTTTTAGAGCACAATGTACAAGTCACTAATTAGATTATTAGGGTAACCACAATATACATTACTAGAAGTCTAGAACAATTTTCATTAACCAAAAAAATCACGAAAAAAAATAAGAACTCAAGCTCCATTAATGGCGGAATTCACAAGATCCTTAGAAATCAGATACCTAAAAGCAAAATCTTGAGGAACCCATTCGATCTTTTTTCTTGATTTTAATAGCTGATGTTTCTTTAGGCTTTTCTTGAATTTATCTGGTAAATAGATTTGGATCATTTCAATGATACCAGCTTCACATAATCCTGAATCTTTCCCAAAGCTATGAAGGATTTTTGGTAAAAGAATTATTTGATCTTTTCCTAGACTGAATGTAGCCATGATAAACTCTTCTTTTGCTGTTTCTAGTTCTTGACACACTCGTTTTGGAGTGTAAACACGAGCCTACAAGAACATGATTCCAAATTCAAGTTCAAGTTCAAGATTTTTGCAATTTAATCGAATTTTGTTTAATTTTAAAATGTAAAAGTTTACCGCAGGATCGGAATGACATCCTGAACAAAGTGCGAAGTGCAAAAGGGGTTCCGGATGGTCAATTGCATACGCTTGGCGGTTATCTCCTGCTTTAAGTTTTGTTCGTGAAGATAATAACAAACGAATCCACTACAAAATCGAAACACCAATCAATAAGACAAAACATGATATGATATGAAATGATAGAACATGGTGTACTGTGTTTGACATGTATTGGACTGAGACTGATGTCAATATTGTGTTTGAGATGTATTGGACTGATGTCAATATTGTGTTTGAGATGTATTGGACTGAAACTGATGTCAATAAGACACCAATGTGTTTCCATCTTATGTCAATAATTATATAAAAATATTAAGGATCTACCTGTCCAGGACGCGACATTCGACATCCTAGGATCATGCTTTGAATCACATATGCACTTACGATGTGACCACCAACATTATAAGCCGCCTGCATCAAATCGGAAAATTTAACTTATTTTTACAATTGATAATATCACACATACATTAATTGTTGAGATTTGTTTATTAATATAAAAGATAAGTTTGTCCCACGATAAAAGGTGGAGTATGCTCCATGTTTGTAAAAGAAGTTTAATGTTTTGGTTTCAAAGTGTACCAATCAAAATATTAAATACACATCTAAGGTTAGGGCTAAATCTTTGGAGAATGAGTGTGTAATTGAGAAATTGATATATGTGATTGTAACAATTTTTCATATAATGAAGTTCTATGTGGAAGCTTGTGGTTTTCTCGAGTTTCCCATGTATATTTTGTTTTATTAGTCTATTATTTTTCATTTGGCGGATTGTTGAGAATCTTTGAGACCATTTTTCCAAAGGTAGTGGTTTGCAAGAAATGACCGGTCAAAGGTACATAGCTTTTTCTTACCTTCAACAGTAGAAAGACTCTCTTCATATTGTTTTGTGGGATCCCATAAGCCAAAATAGCCTGGTAGTCCAGAGAAAAAAAAAATAATTCTCACAATCTTACTCTATATATCAGAGAAAAAAAAAACAATTCTCACAATCTTACTCTATATATCGTGCTAAAAAAATCAAAATTTAGAAAATGGTAAGAAACATGATCATACATGCATCACTAACGCGTTATGTATATTAATCCAAAATGCCAGCTTCTCTTCGTGGTTTAACTTCTTAGGATTTACCTCTTCTAATCGAGAAACTAGCGACCTTAACAAAACAACATAAGTTAGTTGAAATTCATAGAACCAAATAAAATTTGTTAAAGAAAAGTGTTTAATCATATAACCTGAAATGCTGCAACAAGTGTGTGATTTCACCAAGTCTCTGGTTATCTTTATAAAGACATCGAACTTCAACCATTGTACTATATGGTCCACTAAACTCATTAACCCCTTGGACATGAAAAGGGTTATCTAATTGCACATCAAATAACCTTGAATCTGTTCTAAACCCTGGACCCCACATCATATCCGGGTGGCGTTTTGGTGAGAAACTATTCATGGATGATGAAGATGATGTAGGAGATGAAAGGCCATGGTTTGTAAGAGGTGATTCCGCAAGCTTGCAGTATATAGTCGACATGCACTTCACCATGTCTTCTGAAAGCTTGTTTGGTGTTTCAAGAACATGATCCGAAATCCGAGTGCCTAAATGCTCAGCAAGACTAATTAGGTTTGAAGAATTTGTTTGCGCATACTGTATAGCAACCATATGAATTCATAAAGATAATGTATCGTATATGTTAGGGTCTCACATCAGTTCGACACAGTCTCATCTGATTTGTCTGTGTATATGTTGGAGTCTCTCAGTCTCCCCTCTTTTCCTCACGAGCTCTTTTGGAGAGAAAATTTAATGTGGGGCACCGACATTATATATAGAGGTGAATGAGACTATGTCTAGCTGATGTGACACACAAATAGTATCAACAACATTTTAAAAACAAAATCAACATATCTTGTGGAAAATCGAAGGTACCTCCATCATGGAAGGTGGTTGTGAGTAACAAGCCCGTAAAGATTTGCCAAAAATCTCGGTTGGACAAGTTCTGGTTACCGAAGAGTGGCAATGTTGAACTCCCGAATCTAAAAGTCCATTTTGTTCCTCATTTTTGAAACATGCATTGACATCTTGCCATGAGTTTGTTTGTAATGAGATATCAACCCTACAAGTTTCAAGATACTTTCCTCGTGGTGTAATCGATGGTGATTTTGATGTTTGATAATTGTTTCTTAATGGGGATGAATATGATTTTTTTTGATCAAAAGCCTTTTGGTACAATGAGAGAAGATATCGCTCCAAACGTGACACTTCATACTCTAAAACTGCAATTTCTTTAATAATTTCCATTGTCGGCTGCAATCATTTTTAGGGAAATATTATGAATAAATAGCAATGTAATTAGATTTATTTGTGTATTATGACATCCTTCTTTCATTTCTTTCCGTTACATCATTGTACTTTCATTTATTCTATATTTTGAGAAACATAGTGAATTTTTCATCGTTCTACTTTCATTTATTCTATATTTTAAAAAACATAGCGAATGAAGACGATAATAAATACAGAAGTTGCGATCAATAAGGTAGGGATCATCAAAACACCAAACATTTTAGCAGTGAAAATTGTTTTTTTATTAGGATGACATTGCTTTAATTATGTGGATTTTTTGAAGTATTGTAATAAAAAGAAATGAAAATAGTAGCTATGATAAACTATTCGGTAAAGTAAGCTATTATTTTTGCATTTAATCTTAAAAAGTAATTGAGAATAACGAGGAAAAAAAGTAAATCGTTTGTTAAAATTTAGGACTTAACGAAGAATGTCCCTTTATTAAGTCGTTTTATATTAAGTAAAAAGCACAACTCTTTTATAGATTTATCTCTGATTAAAGTCTTTCCTAAGAACAAATAAAAAGAGCCATTACCTTAGGAATAGAGTTCTTCAAGCGTCCCTTATCCTGATATTACCCATAAACACAAGTACAAAATCGAGTGTTAATATTCAATCATTCTCACCACTATCTTCATGAATCTTTTCTTATTCAATACATACCAACTTAACACGTTCAGAACGTTCAAGGTTATCTTCTTCAAATTTATTCGTGGCTGGAAAGCTGCCATTGTTAAGAACATTTAGCATCTTGGAGTAAACCCAATAGCATATATATATATATATATATATATATATATATATATATATATATATATATATATATATATAT